CAGATCTACTCTCAGATCTGTGGCAGAGCCAGCATGATCCAAGATACGAAAATACGATTTTAAAGTAATAAGCTGATCAAAATAAAATTAAAATAATAAAAGAAGAATAAAAAAAAGAAAAAAATGATACCGAACCAGGCCAGATGGCACGAAACTCCCGAGCCTTTTGAGGCTCGCCCGTATCAGAACTGGTCATCTTTTATCTCTCTGAGTTGGATGTTCACTATTGAAGAAGGGTGGTTGTGCCCTAAAGGTAGATCTAGGGTGGTTGTGCCCTAAGTCTAGGTTTTCTCAAACTTAGGTTTTCTCTCAAGAGCTCGGGTTCTTGAAGCAATTTCTAGAGTTTTCTCATCTCTCGTGTACCTGAAGCAGTTTCTAGGGTTTTCTCGTCTCTCGTGTACCTAAAGCAATTTCTAGGGTTTTCTGGTCTCTCATGTACCAGAAACAGTTTCTAGGGTTTTCTCGTCTCTCAAGTTTTCTCGTCGCTTGTGTACCTGAAGTATTTTGTAGGGTTTTCTCGTCTCTCGTGTACCTGAAGCAGTTTCTAGGGTTTTCTCGTCTCTCGTGTACCTGAAACAGTTTCTAGGGTTTTCTCGTCTCTCGTGTACCTGAAACAGTTTCTAAGGTTTTCTCGTCTCTCATGTACCTGAAACAGTTTCTAGGGTTTTCTTGTCTCTCGTGTACCTGAAGTAGTTTCGTTTCTAGGGTTTTCTCGTCTCTATTGTACCTAAAGCAGTTTCTAGGGTTTTCTCGTCTCTCGTGTACCAGAAACAATTTCTACGGTTTCTCTCATGTACCTAAAGCAGTTTCTAGGGTTTTCTCGTCTCTCGTGTACCTCAAATAGTTTCTAGGGTTTTCTCTTCTCTCGTGTACCTAAAGCAGTTTCTAGGGTTTAGGGTTTTCTCATCTCTCGTGTACCTGAACCAGTTTCTAGGGTTTTCCCACCTGAAGCAGTTTCTGGGGTTTTCTCGTCTCTCGTGTACGTGAAACAGTTTCTAGGGTTTTCTTGTCTCTCATGTACCTGAAGAAGTTTCTAGATTTTCGCGGGTTTTCTCATCTCTCGTGTACCTGAAGCAGTTTCGAGGGTTTTCTCGTGTTTTCTCGTCTCTCGTGTACCTCAAGCAGTTTCTTTCTCGTCTCTCGTGCTCGTATACCTCAAGCAGTTTCTAGGGTTTTCTTGTCTCTTGTGTACCTGAAGCAGTTTCTAGGGTTTTCACACTTGAAGGAGTTTCTAGGGTTTTCTCATCTCTCGTGTACCTGAAGTAGTTTCTAGGGTTTTTTCGTCTCTCGTGTACCTGAAATAGTTTCTAGGGTTTCACGTCTCTCTCGTGTACTGACACAGTTTCTAGGGTTTTCTCATTTCTCGTGTACCTGAAACAGTTCTAGGGTTTTCTCGTCTCTCGTGTACCTCTCGTGTACCCGAAACAGTTTCTAGGGTTTTTGAAACAGTTTATCTGAAACAGTTTCTAGGGTTTTTGAAACAGTTTCTAGGGTTTTTGAAACAATTTCTGGGGTTTTCTCGTCTCTCGTGTACCTAAAACAGTTACTAGGGTTTTCTCGTCTCTCGTGTACCTGAAATAATTTCTAGGGTTTTCTCGTTTCTCGTGTACTTGAAACAGTTTCTAGGGTTTTTTCATCTCTTATGTACCTGAAACAGTTTCTAGGGTTTTCTCGTCTCTCGTGTACCTGAAACAAAGGGTTTTCTCGTCTCTCGTATACCTGAAACAGTTTCTAAGGTTTTCTCGTCTCTCGTGTACCTAAACAGTTTTAGGTTTCTCGTCTCTCTTGTAACTGAATCTCGTGTACCTGAAACAGTTTCTAGGGTTTCTCGTCTCTCGTGTACCTGAAACAGTTTCTTGGGTTTTCTCGTCTCTCGTGTACCTAAAGCAGTTTCTAGGGTTTTCTCATTCTCTCATGTACCTGAAGCAGTGTCTCTTATGTACCTGAAGCGGTTTCTAGGGTCTTTTCTTCTCTCGTCTACCTGAAGCAGTTTCTAGGGTTTTCTCTTCTCTCGTCAACCAGAAGCAGTTTCTAAAGTACCTGAAACAGTTTCTAGGGTTTTCTCGTCTCTCATGTACCTGAAACAGTTTTTAGGGTTTTTTCGTCTCTCGTGTACCTGAAGCAGTTTTTAGAGTTTTCTCTTCTCTCGTGTACCTGAAGCAGTTTCTAGAGTTTTCTCTTCTCTCGTGTAACCCTCTCTGGTTTTCTCAGATCTCTTTTCTCGTATAACTCTCTCTGGTTTTTTCTCTCTGATCTCTTCTTTCTAATCTCTATATGTTCTCTTCTCTCTCGTGTAACTCTCTCTGGTTTTTTTCTCTGATCTCTTCTCACTGGTCTCTATATGTTCTCTTCTCTCTCGTGTAACTCTCTCAGGGTTTTTCTCTTCTCTCTGATCTCTATATGTTCTCTTCTCTCTCGTGTAACTCTCTCGGGTTTTTCTTTTCTCTCTGCTCTCTATATGTTCTCTTCACTAAGATTCTGGTCTCTCAAATTTTTTATTGTTATATGCTCTCTCTTAGGGTTTGGTCACTCTCTATCCCCTTCCAAATGACCATGAAAAGAGGGTCTATAAGGTCAAAATCCGTCGGGAGGATATACTCACATAACCTACAGGTACTTATCCCAAAAAATGGATTTATTAGGTTAAGTGTAATGGTTCGGAAAACCACAGAATTTGCCAGATTTAAAATGGGGCGTCTACAATATTGTGGTAACAAAATTATTTTTTGAGGGGGCATAGCATTGTCTAGAAAGTACAAATTGGGAAATACCTATATTTTTTCCTATATTATAATAAATGTTTTGGACTTATAGAAATGGAAAAATAGTTTCATGTGGGCTTGAGCGCACCAGAAAGTATAAAGCATCCATCTTACATCAACGGTCCAAATGTTTTCTTACTATAATTATTATTTTTAGTTTTTAAAATTTATTTATTTTTGCATATTCATGATCCCCATGTTAGAGATTACATATACTTAAAAATTAAGTCTTAAAATCTATCTCAAAAATAGATTTATTAAGAGGCCCACATTTCTACATATACTGGCTTGGCCACATAGAAACCGGATCCTATAGAAATTTACATATAAATCCTCTTTTATTTTTATATTTAAAAATAAATATTGTAAATTTTATTTTTATATTTAAAAATAAATATTGTAAATTTTATTTTTATAATCAAGTCATATTTTTTAGGGTGCAGTTTCTATAAATATGCAACCTTAAACAATCCAATTAAGGCGCACCTTAAAAATTTATCATAACATGTAATTTTGTTATAAAAAATTCTTAGTATTATCTTAAAATCTATTTTCATACCTAATTAGAAAATTTTAAATTCCAAAAATAGTTAAAATCAAGTAGATCTATAAATATATGAAAATCTTGAAAATGGACGGTCTAGATAATGTGTTGCAAAATTCACTATTTTCAAAACTCAAAAACTTTTTTTTTTTCATATTCATACATGTCAATGTCGAGATGATCGATTATAGGGTTTTTCCAACATTAAAACACCATTTTCGATAGATTTTTTAGGTGCGTCTGTGATTCTACATTTTAAAGTTGCAACCTTATATAAACTTTTTCCTATTTTTTAATATATAAAGCACATTTTAATTTTCTCTCTTTTCTATAAACCAGATTAAGTTTAAATTTAGTAACTTTGTACTTCTAACCATCACATGTCTAAAATTATTATTAAAAATAATCTAAAATAACTAAAATTACCAAATCACCCATGAATATAATAAACTATTTTTAAATATCAATCATAAAATAGGATGTACATGCTCTTGCACTTAAAACAAATAATGTGACTTAAAATAAATAATCTTATTATATATTAAAGTTAGCCAAACATATATTGTTTATATATTAAGATTAATACATTAAAACAAATAGCATATGACATTTCTCACACAAGTGCAATTCAAAAACCGGTATATAACAAACATAATATTACTAAAGCGCTTCACACCAGTATTTATAAAGGAAAAGGTTTATATAAAGTGGCAACCTCAAAAAATGTAGAATTAAGGTGCACCTCAAACATCCCTCATAAAAAAATTATTTTGATGTTGGAAAACCCTCTAATTGATTATGCATCGAGATGTATAAATGTGAAAAGAAAATAAGATTTCGAATAGTGAATCTTGAAACACATTATCTTGACTATCTATTCTCAAGATTTTTATGTGTTTATAGATCTACTTGATTTGAACCATTTTTTAAGTTTAAAATTTTATAATGAGATATCAAAATAGATTTTCAAGCCATCCTAAGAATTGTTTACACCAAATCATATTTTTGGAGTTGGCTATACAAATTCTACCCTATCTAAAACTATACCCTCAGTGAGGCCATAAGTTCTCATATATTTTCTTGCTATTTCTAATTATGGTATTTTGAACTTACTCCGTGCTTTTTTGGAGCTTTCTACTTGAATAAACTCCCACTTCTTAATCGGTGGAATTTAATCAAGACTCAAACTCCCACTTCTTAACAGGTGGAAGTTAACCGAGCAACAAAATGTGGATGCAGTCATTTCTCCACCAAAATGTAAATGTCAATAAACTTCCCCCAAATATGACTCGCGAATTTTATTTGCATTTGGTGAGGACGCAATATATCTTTCACGATGTACAGTTATGATAAGAGCACAGTTTTCGCGGTGAAAATGTTTAGGAATGTTAAGCATGCAGTTCCAATAAGAAAGCACATTCACTTCCCAATTAAGAAGTCATCAACACAACTACAAACCAAATATTGATGGTTTCAATATTGATGGTTTCTTTCTTTCAAAAATCTTGATGATTACAAACCAAATATTGATGGTTTCTCTTCTTTCAAAAATCATGATGATACAGAATCTGATGAAAATTACGATGTAAATTAGTGCATACAGCACATCTTACTGCTCACATGTCCAGATAGCATGTAGCCAATATCTCCAGAAAAGAATAACAATCTTAAGCACCATGAATTGACTCCAAAAGTAATCAATCATTTCTCCTTTCTTTCTCAATAAACAGAAATTATACATCTGTTTAAAATTATTGGGCATTAGATATTGCCACTCACCCTTCCAATTATTCACAGGGTGGCCAATATTTCCAACAAGAATTAGGACATTCGAGAAAAAAATCCGACTTCTATAAATGATTGTTTTCCCTTTTCTTTCGACAAAATACACAACCAAATGAGAATTACAAAGCAATCAGAAGTACGTGGACTGCTTGATTGTGCCAAACAAGTCCAGAACATGCCCACCCTTTCAAATAAGGGGGTGGTCAAGAATTAAGTAAAAGAATTTTTAAGAAACTATCAAGTTGTTTATCACATAAGAATGCGGAGAACAGCAATCCCAACAGCTGAAATCGAGACCAAAGTTCCGATGCAGTATTTGATCACGTCGTATTTGGCTGCTTCCAACTGAGCCCTTAAAGCATGGATTTCCTGGAAAACAAGAAAAGATTCAAGCAACACAAATTCAATATACAGCTCAAGTCCAACATTACAAGCATATATTTTTGTAATAAAAAATAAAATAACAGCAAAACTGACCCTGTCAAGCTTGTTAGTGAGACTAGAGGTTTCTGCACTTTGATTGGCAAGCTCATCACGTATGCGTCTGCGACAGAGTAAGGCCACAAAAAAACAATTATTAAGACCCAATAATTCATGGACGGAAGAGAGGTATATATGTAGTCATTAGAACCCGATCGGGTATACAATTCTCATAAAGCCCGAATAGGTTCATCTTTCTTCTTTTCCTTTTTATTTGGGGGAGTGTAAGATGAGAATTCAACCCAAGAACATACTGCAATTGATAAGCCAAGAAGCCTAGCCCAAAAGCCAGAAACATCTATCACACATCCATTACTTGGAATGAGCAAGAGTCGAATTTGTATATTCACTTGAAATGGTTTAATATTTCAATGAAGAATAAGCTAACAATCAAGCAAATAAAAAGTTGTAAAGTGTCCCCAAAAATATCACAAAAAAAAATATACGATTTAAGAAGGAAAAGAAAAAAGAACTCACCCCCTTTCCAGGTTCAAATCAAGACGTTGTCCTGCAGTAACTTTGTCGATCTCATACCTGTGTCCAAAAAAACATTAATCACAATAACGAAATCAAAACAAACAAGCAAATGCATTTTTATAAGAGTACAAAGAAAAATGGTGTAGATCTTGACCTTAGCTCACTGCGCATCTTTTCTATATCAGTTCGAAGCTTTTCTGTTTCACGTTGAAGCAAAGAAAAATGGTGCTCCTACATGCCCCAATAGTCCAAATTAACCATAAAACCATCATTTAAATAATAACCATGTAAAAAAGATATAACTAAGAATAAACTACACCAGGTTTTACATGCTCCAACTGTTATAGAGAGCAGACAAAACCAAGCACCACCTCACTGCAGAATAAGGTGACCTATACAGGACAGTGAAAAAAAACCCAAATTGCCCTAATGTAACACAAAAAACATGGAGCTTTATGCCATGGTTCCATAGCTTTACCTGCATCTAAATGCCTAAACATAATATTTTCTAAATTAATAAATAATTCCACAAATATCCATTGAAAGGCAAAGCATCCACGTTGCATGTCTATGAGAACCATCTTTGTTAATGAGGCAAATAAATCTTATCTGATTGAATTGAAGGCTTTGGAACACAGATGCATCCAGTAATTGGTTTTCTTTTTCTTCTGATAAATCATCCATGAATTGGTTTTCTAGATGTGGAAATTACACAGGCACCAATTATCATGACAGGAAGAATAATAAGTACAAAATGAAAGCAGGGAGGAAGCAAGTGTGTACTAATAGATAATCAAAGACTTTTGAGGCAATTATAAACACCAATATAGCCAAAGTTGTGCGGCAATCCCAAAGAAAGAGAGATTTGCCTTGCTTAGAAATCCAAGACCATGATTTCTTAGGTAGAAAAAAATGAAGTAGCATATAAATCAAAACATTATACATTGCATAATATTGTAAATATTTTTTAAAATTCGTGCAAGTAAAAACACTATAGGCATCTTTGGATGTACTTGTTATCACTAATAATTCAATTTTTCAATAAAATGAATCCTGATAATGAATTATCTACGTTTTTGCAGTGTCCTTCATAAAATTATCTGATATAAATGTATAGGAAGTTTTACATGTGAGTTTACCCTTTTGAAAAGCTGTTTTTACTTTATTCAAAATAATTTGCTGAAAATGACTTGTTTTTTAGCCAGAAATAACTTAATATACCTGAAAATCACCAAAAAAGTTAAATAATTAAACATAATTATATGTCATACAAGGTATGTACAAAACAGCTAACAAAACAATATTATGCAGGGTATATTTATTTCAGATGAGACTCTACTCCTGATGAGATTAAATGTCATCCAAACAGGCTACACACATATCATGTATGTGATGCTGATATAAACATGAAAAAGAACATTTATGATATACTACCTGAACATAACATGTTATATTATACCACACACGCCAACCACAGGCACATAAGGCCTTTACACACTCATTGCATTCCACATGTAATAATGGTTAGGTGCACCCTATGTTCCAAGGACCCGGATGCCAGAATCCATGTCCAACTCAGTTTTGAAGAATCTGAATCACCAATCTATATTTTGCCAAGTCCAGCACAACTTCAAGTTGTACAAGGCCAATGTGCCTGTACATATTTAATCACCAATCTATATTTTGCCAAGTCCAGCACAACGTCAAGTTGTACAAGGCCAATGTGCCTGTAAATATTTACATATAAACTTTATGTGACTTTCAGTGATAAAATTAACTAAAAAAATAAAACGAACAAGATACATTAACCCTCTTATAATTTAATTCCCAAAAAAACCCTTGAGTACATGAAAAGCCCATGAAATTCCCCCAAGATGAAAAGGATATTTAACCTCCCAACCCCCAACCCTAACAAAACACAGCATACCCTTTTTATCATCAAATTTTCAACACTTGCCCTTTCTCTTTGGTCTAATAACCCCAACATACAAAGGAAATTTGGGATGTTATGATTAACTTACTTGAGAGGTTCACGAGATGAGAGAGAGAGAGGTTCAAAAGTAAGAGAAAGAGGGAGGGAGTTTTTCTAGGGTTTGGTTGACAAGGTCATCATCATCATCATCCAAGCCTTATCCCAACTATTTGGAGTCGGCTGCATGAATATTGTTCCACCATTCCGCTATATCACGGGCTATACCCTCAGTCAGGCCATAAGTCACCATATCTCTTCTCACTACTTCCATCCATGTTCTTTTGAGCCTTCCACTTAAACCAAATTACCCCTCCTAACTACGATTGTTCTAGGTAGACGCAGCATAATTTGGTTAACAAGGTTATTATAGAAAATAAAAATGACAAATGTTGTCATTTGAACGATGAAAAAGGTACATGGGGGGGTTAAGCATCCTTGTCTTTTATTTTGGAGGGGATCCATGGGCTCTCCATGGACATGAGGGTTTAGATGGGATTATATTATAGATGGGCGGTATATGTATTTTGCCAATAAAATATGTGGCTCCAAATCAAAGACACGCACATCCAAATCATAGGACTCATGCGCCCACATGTCTTAAAACATGGAGATGTCTCTTACAATGTGGAAACAAGAACAATACATAATCGACACATGTGTCTTGTTTGTTCAATCTACAGCATCTCCATATAGCGAAACCATGTATGTTTGTCGACGTGGCTTTCCTGTGTCTATGTGTATATCCTATGTGTTGATACATACATGTATCTAGTGCGTTGACATATTGAATTCTCCTAAAAGCACATGACACATGTGATTGCCACATGGGGTGTACCACACATTCCGTGCATTCACAATGGAAGGGTGGAGATGAACCATTTCTCTTCTTGATCAGATAATTGCAGCGGCACTGTTCATCTCCACTTGTCTATCATTGAGAACTAATGGTGGCGAGTGGCAACTAACATGTAGTATACAAATAAAATAACCTGTGCAGAATGGAATCATTTCCCAAGACATCTAGCATACAGATGGGATGCTCGGTAGCAACGTAGCATGTATAAAATGTTTTGGACTTCAAAATTTCGAGTACAACATGCTGCCAAGTGCAAGTGACTTTTGATAAGGAATATTTTATATAAATTAGCCAAGGAAACTTTAATATACCCCATACAATGGGAGTATCATGCAAGGTTACACAATATTGGATATGCTTATCAGCATTAATAAGCATTAGTGTTTTAAAAACGACGAGTCAGCACAAAATCGCCTGGGTCGACCCAGGAATCGGTCATCCCATGCCGATTCTTGCAAAACATAAGAAAATGCCTGTGTTTAGAGCCAAAACAGCAATTTTGAACCATAAAACGGCTAGTTTCAATAGTAAAACGGCGAGTCACTACAGTTAAAATAGGCATGCTACAGTAAATCCCATGCTTTGCCCCTTTTTCACCGAAAAAGATGTTGGATCTGTAAAAATCCGTCGTTTTTATCAATAATGGTGGGGAGTAACTTTTTGCTAGATGATCGTGGTAATATTGCCTTTCATCAAAATTAGGTAACATGATTTGTAGTTTTGTACTTTTTCTTCTGATTTTTTTTTTGAGCGAGATTTATGGTTTTTTTTAGAGGGTTTGGGATTTCCGCTGTTTGTTGCTTTGAATTTCCATCGGGGTTTTATCATGGGGTTTGGACCTTGTCCTGTAAGGAAACTTTAAACTATTTTTTAATCAATTTTTATTTGGGTTTCTATTATTTATTGTGTTTTTTATTTAATTATTCCAAGAATGTGTTGTTATGGTGTATAAATTCGAAGGGTTCTCTGTTGCAGGATTTAAATGTTTTTTCCTTTTTTTTTGCTTATATTGGGGTGGTGGATTTTAGAGAGAGAAATTTCAGTTGGGCTGGGCCTATTTGTCTTGTTAGGTAGTTTTCGTGAACTGTTCAAATTTTTAGAGATTTTGTTGAGGAAATTCAGAATGTTGATGTGTTTTTTGGTAGATATTTTCTTTATCAGATTGCTGATTTCAATACTTGTTCATGTGGCTGTTTTATGGTGTTTTCCTTTTTGATGGTTTTTAGCTTTTCCTTTTAAGTTATTGCATCCTTTGTTATTTGTTGAGAGATGCTTAATGGGTGCTTGAACTTTCTTTTTTTTGTTTGGCCTGCTGATTTATGATCTTCAATAGCCCATTGGAATTTGTTTTACTTTCCTGTCCATAAAATATGTTGAGTTAAAAATTTTCCCTTCCACTCTTTGATGAATTGGCAAATCGAACCCATATTAAGCCTTAGTTATGCAAGAAATTGGCACATGTTGAGGGGATTTCTGTATATAGTGTGTTTTTTCTTTTTGACAGTTCGAAATCATTGTCATGTTCTTTACCTATCAAAAAGACGTTTGGAACTAATTTTCTAGAATGATTGGATGAAACTATTTTATGAATTGTATGCTTTATTGTAGTCCATGTATGATTTATATACTTCATCCATAATAATTCTATGCTTCTTTTTTTGTGTGATGTAAATTTAATGGTTACCAGTATTTCATACAGGGAAAGAATATCTCCATTTTCGCATATTGATACAAAGTTAATAATGTAGCACCCCCATTTGTTATTGGATTCCTAGGAAACAACATTTATAATGATTTTTTATAATTTTTTTGAATTTTGTTTAGGCAGAATCCGACTGATCCGACCGATTCGCCGATCCGAACCGCCGATTCACCGATCCGAATCGATTTTGGGATGCCTGATCTGGGGCACCGATCCATTTTTTAAATCATTGATAAGCATTAATGATTCAACAAAACCAAAATATTAAATTTCTTCATGGTAATTACAAGCTTGCCATCAGAAAATTACATAAAATCCCTCCAACCAAAGGTAACTTATGCTGGTTTCCAGTGTCAAAAAGTGTTGGTGTAGTTTTATGTTACTACACCTACCAGGGAGAATCTTATCAATCATCACATGCCTGTCTATACACCAATATAAGCTCAAGATCATGCATGAACAACACACATGAATCATGAGTAAAACAATATAAACATCCCCACTATCAGATAGAAAAGACAATTCAAATGTTTAGGAAAGAGAAATCAATCTCAAACGCAAGAGACAAGCTTGAAGATGATAAGACTGTTACCAACTAAAGTCTCGTGGCAGAAGATCCTCTACGATTTTCGCCCAGGGGGCAAATCTCTCATGCTTGAGGTGAGAAAAGCATAAAGTAATCACCTTGGCATGAGAACCCACGACAAGCTGAGCACCTCATTGTATGCCTAGTGAGGCCCTCATTATTCGGATGAATATTGAGGCTTTAAATCACCCAAAATCTCCTTTGTACGCACCCTTGATATTTAAAGTTTTTTGTTTTACTCAATCTTCAAAATTGCAAAAATACAGATATTTTGAGTTTTATATTTTAAAAAATAAAATAAAAAAAATCTGAGGAGCAATATTTTTGGGGGGAAGAGGTTTACAATACTTCCCTCAACATCTTCCCTAGAGAGACCCCATGCTCATGGTCCGAGGGCGTTTTCTTCCCTAGTGCTATGGGAAGCCCAAGGCAGGCGCCTCAACTGAGGCACTAGGTGCCAGCTCAAGGTTGGTCGCCTTGCCCTAGGCGAGGGGCCTAGGCTAGCACCTCACCCAGGCCAGACACTTTTTAATAGAATGGAGATCAATGCCTTGTTGGGTCCTTCAAGGGGCTGGCTACAAGCATAATATTCTTTGAAGGTTTGTAAGGTGGATGAGGCCCTCATATGAGGGCTAAGGGTGTGGTACAAAGAAGTTGGTCGAGGTCTTCAGTTGAGATGCCAAATCTTTTGCAAGTCATATGAAGCTAGGATGGGGCCAATGCCTACTTCTCATGATGTTTGATCCAACAAGGTATGAATGCATACAAAAAAGATAGTCTTTTACGGTAAAGTTGTCAGTCATAGAGACAATTGTATCACGTACTTTTTTTCATAGGGAGAAAATGAACAGTGTGAATGGAGTAGCCTTACTCTAGCCATACAAAAGAATATGTCTTTACGTTGAAACCTAAAACAAAAACAATTTAGCATGTGGGGCCACTCTCAATGCAGGAAGCAAACAACCTTATCCTAAGGTCTCAGGAATCCTTTTGAAGTCCAGGCCACTGCCACTCAAAGAAATGATAACCTACATAAGAAATAGGCTAAGAAAACTACTTCAAATCCAGGAACTAACAGAAGCTCATACTAACTACACTCTACTGTTGCTTTTCATGTTGACACCAATGATGAGCCTCTACCCTTTGAACCTATGCCCCTTAAAGAAATTATGATCGACAAAAGAAAATGACAGGGGAAGCCACTTCCAAAGCCAGGAACTGACCGAAATTCAGACATTTTCCATGCATCACCATGACTTTTTGCTATATTCTCTCATTGGGCTCACATCAACTTCCATCATGAACCAACAGTTGACCATAAAGCCAAACATGTTGCCCATTCCATAGAACAATTTGTCTCGTGTCAGGCTCCCCATGTGCTTTTATTACTGATATTTATGTTAATAATGTTCTTAGCATGTGTCCCTTTTCTCCTTTGAAGGTGTTGACGATATATTATTAATAGGAATAACGACAGAGTTCTCACCAAAAGTAATGGGCAAACCAAAAGCTGAGTGCTCTTAGACAAAAATTACTTAAGCAGTAACAAAAAATTGCTTACCAAAGCATGAGTAGATGGCAGCCGACAAGTCAGGAGCTCAAGAACTCGTGCAAGCGACAAAGAGTGAAGAGAAAGAACAAAAAATGAGTAGATGGCAGCTCGCACATTGGGTACTTTAGTACACATCCATCTGACAAAGTGGAGAGAAATAAAAGGGAGGGAGGGGGAGTGTAGGAGGAGAAAGGAAATGAGAGTAAAGAAAGGAGGAAAATAGTGTGAAGTCAGAGGGAAGGGAAGCCTAAGAGGAAAGATAATAAGGTTAAGTTAATAGAGAGAGGAAAAGGGTAAGGGAGGAGAAATGAGGTGCCTGGAGGAACGAATCCTAGTACACACTTGATTATACACAAAACCACCGGGTTATGCCCTAAAAACAGGAAATGAATGCCTGTGCTAAACTTGTGCAAACAAGATAGCAGAAAGTGACAAGTGGAAGCCTAGAGAGAAGAGGGGAAGAGAGGGATGTGGAGAAAATGGATAGGATAGAAAGGTGGCGAAAAAAAGAGAGAACAGGGAGAGCAAGATCGCAATAGAAAAAGAAAAGAAGAAAAAAGAAAGACAGGAGGGGGGGTAAGCACCGAGAACATAGAAAGGAGTGAGAGATGAAAGAAAGACCAAAAAAGTACATATTCCCAAAACATATTCTAAAGGCTTCAAGAGTGTTGTAGGGCCACACTAGCAGCAGCCCCTCCTTAGCCAGTGCATCAGCACCGCAGGGGCTTCCCACCGGATAAACAAAACTGAAGTCCATAGATGCACCAGAAAACCATCACTATGAGATGCAAACCTTCACCAATTAACAGAAAGTGCCTCGCATAAATGATGAGAAAACTGTTTTCTAGAGGAGTCCCTCAGAATATTTCTTTTTTTGGGACTAAATTTCTTTTGCGAAGTGTTGTTCGGCTAAACTTTATGCCGCTAATTGTTCTGCAAGAACTTTAGCTGCTCCAAAAAGCCAAACGTATTTCAGCAAGCAGTTCAGCAAATACCATGCTCAACAGGAAAACCATGTGGCCCATCCCACTAAAATGAAGTTCTACGCATGGATCAATCCTAACCCAAGGAGTTAAGAGGCAGCAGGGCACTGAACTGAACATAACAGACCAAAGTTTGGCATGGATCAATCCTAACCCAAGGAGTTAAGAGGCAGCAGTGCACTGAACTGAACAAAACAGACCACAGTTTGGCATGGATCAATCCTAACCCAAGGAGTTAAGAGGCAGCAGTGCACTGACCTGAACATAGCAGACCAAAGTTTGGCATTTGGGGCAGCGAAGTTTAATAAGGAAGTAAATGATTAGCAATTATACTAACAGGGTGTGATAATGAGGGTTATAAGGAGGCAACAGGGCAAAGCAGATCCAGTAGCTGATTCCAGACCATGAAACTGGAATCCATTTCATGGAATCGAAAAATTTGAATTCTCAAAACTCAAAAAATCAGAAATGTTTCACAACACAAAAAGGAAATTTTGCATCCTCTTCTCTCCAGCCAACGGATTGAACATGTTTTAGGCCCAGCAAAGAAGAAATCCCTATCAACTACTAGCACAGGCAAACAAATAGTAGGAGTTACCTTTTCATGGTCTCATGATTGTGCAATGAATGTATATACAATCAATGATGGAAAGCCACCTAAAATTATTAAATTTAATTGGCAGTTTCTAATTAAATAATAATTGAGGGACAAGATAGAAGCATGAATTTGTATCCAAGCTTCTCATTTTCCTCAAACAGGAAGCACAAAGACTTGATTTTTCAAGTTCACCCAAATCAATATCAGACATCTGCGACGTTCTCTAACAATAAAAATAACAACCAAAGGAAGGACAGGAGACAGTCAGATTTAGGATCATGCTTCTCATTTCTATATATAGAAGCACAGACGATGAAATTGTTCACATTCTAAGGAGTAGAGAACACTGGAAAACAGAACATTAAAACTACAATCATGATCTTGTAAGAAGAATCTATCGACTATGGATCAAGATAATTTCCATCCAATCATGAATTGTGTGCAAGACATACCCAAGCAGTTAGTTGGAAACACAGATAAATATTGAAGAGTTCAAATGGATAAAAAAAAGGGATATTGTTAGAGAATCACAAGGAGCCAATAGTTTTTAAGACAATGCACAGGATGTAACATAATATAGGAATAAATGCCTCCAAACTCTCGTACTAAATTATTGTTGCATCAAAAAATAAAATGGGGAACCTCAGGAGTAAAAAAATATTTTATAATCATATATATCTATATATCTATAATCATGTGAGAAGCATAAAAAATATTCGATTGATTAAAATGCAAACCCTAATTTGAAGGTTTAAAAACTCATTTGCTATGTAAGGATTGCTTTTAGATGATCCTCATAGATATAACGTTACATTTTCCTATGTGCTAATAAATTTAGAATGACTTCTTCCCAAACAATATTCAAATTTTATGTATGCATCTTACATTTTCCTATGTGCTAATAAATTTAGAATGACTTTTTCCCAAACAATATTCAAATATGAGCTAATAAATTTAGAATGACTTCTTCCCAAACAATATTCAAATATGAGCTAATAAATTTCGAATGACTTCTTCCCAAACAATATTCAAATTTTATGTATGCATCAATTAAAAAGTAACAAGCTTTAGAGTAACCACACAATACGAAACAATATATCAAAGGAAACAATACAGCTAAAGCGTGATAATAAATTTAGAATGACTTCATTCCAAACAATATTCAAATTTTATGTATGCATCAATTAAAAAGTGTCAAGCTTTAGAATAACCACACAATATTCTTCAAAGGAAACAATACAACAAACCTAAAGCTAAGTACCTGAGAACTTTGAACTTCAGATTTAAATTTTGAGATGTTAGATTCTTGAATCATTTCACTCTACAAAAGAAACGAACCCAAACAACATTAATAAACACCATATCTAGTACAACATAAATAAACATCACATCTAATAGAATCCAAGAATCAACAAAATATACTACTAAGTAAATTTATATGATTCTTACTTTCTGCACAAAATATACTACTAAATAAATTTAAATGATTCTTACTTTCTGCATCTCCATTTTTGAGACAAAAGACTGAGCCACATTTTCCAAGCTATCATTCAGAACTTCAGTAATAGCTGCTGTTATCGCCTCAGCATGGTTTGATGGTACACCTTGTGCTTCTAATCTTCTAACCTGAAGATTAGAAAAATATAATATTGATAAGCATCCAAATCCAAAACCAGTTTCCACAACAATTACAAATTTTTAACCCAAATCCAAAACCAGTTTCCACAACAATTGTACCAGTGCAAGAGTGTCCACAAGGAAGGCCCGTTTTCCATTTGTTTTCACAAGCTGTGATATCTCCCTACAAGTCTGGGATGGTAAAGTAGGTTGTTCTCTTGCTCTTGCCCTTGCCCTAGAAGTAAAGGCAAGGTGTAACTCAATGGGAGAAAGGCCGGAGGCCTGACTTGAAAGGGGTCGAGACGCTTGCCATGTCGCTGTGGCTCTTCGTATAGTAAAAGCCCAATTAGCCATAGATTTTGATAAGTTCAATTTTAAATCAAACTAGCATTCATACAAAATTCTCGGAGACCAACTCTAGCATTCATACAAAATTCTAGGAGAGCAACAAGCCAACAAATGTGTTTTCTCAAATCCTTTTAATCGCCTTTCTGGATTTAGCATTATTCTGGAACCTTAAGCCCTATCACCACCACAAACTCTCTTCAAATAACTATTCATGCAAACCATAATCACAGGAAAAAACGATTTTTGCACCAAAACCCTAAATTCTAAACACTTATTGGCTTTCTCGCCTGAAATTGCCAAGATCTCCTAGCTTCTTTCCTTTCACCGTGGAGTCATAAAAACCCTAGAAAGTACAAGCTATACACGTTTTTTATCCAGCGCAAACCTTGTAAAGCATCTAGATAGCACAAAAGCACCAAAACGCTTATCTGAGTTGGTGGCATGTCGCGGCAATATGAGTCTATGTTAATGGCGACCCAGCGTTTGCCCCAGGCTTTATTTTTTAGGGGTCTGCCATAAAATGCACATTGAACACGAGGTTGCTGCTGAGTTGTAACGTGAAGAAAAGCGGACACTTTCCAGGAAATTTTCGTTTTTCCCAGTTTTTAGGGTATCGTATGGAGAGAAAACGAGGCCCTTTTTGTGGGGCGAAGTAAGAACAGAGACCCACAACAGAACCTGGTCTTGCGAGAAGGTTCCGTGCACCCTTTTTCTCTCTAAGTTCCGTAAGTCAAAGAAATAATAATGATTAAAAATAGGAATCGATGCCAATTATCAAAGATGGTCTTGGTGGCTATCCACCGAATACTTTTTATAGGAAAAAGTTTGTACAGGATCGAGGTTCTAAATATTCGAATTATAGAGCCCGTTGTTTTTTTTGCCGAAATATCTTCAAATTCATCATCTCGACATCAATATGTATGGACATGACAAATATATAGATTTCAATTTTTTAAAATAATACATATATTTTTAGACCGTCATTTTTCAAGATTTTCAAGTTTTGATAGATCTGTTCGTTCTACACTACTTTTTTAAGCTTTAAATTTTATAATTAAATACTAAAATATATTTTAAAGTTACCACAAAGATGTTAAGTATTGAAACCACATTTCTCGATACTATTTAAAGGTGCGTTTTTATTTGATTGTTTAGAGCCTCGGCTCTATACAAATCGCATCCCTTTTTAAATAGGAAATGTGATTAAAGGTTGAGAACCCTTAAAATTCATTCAAAGGGTCAAATTACCCTAGCGGGTGATGCATGTCCCAAATTCCAATAAAGGAAAAGGATTGTGTTAGCTAAGGGCAATCGGTGTAAAATTTTGGCACATGTTTTAACAAATCTTGGACCTATGATGAAGAAGACATCTCACAAAAAAAATTCAAATAATAAAAATATTCAAATTGCCCTTACTCAATATTAAGAATGAGAAATAACATACACACGTTTAACTCAATTTTGTGGGAATGATGTATAATCGTTTCCAATCCCATTCCAACCGAAATCTAGAATTTTCAATGTGAATTCTTTCGTGACGCATCCCATCCCTTCCCTATGTAATAATCTAAGTCATGGGGTAGACAATTATCTCATCTTTTACATCTTCCAGAACAAAACAAACGATAATTAATTTGATTTTAACTCAAACAAATACGACGCCCTAGCTACTCCAATGCAAATAGACTAACTAATGCACTGAAAGTATCATTTTCCTAGTTATATAGATAATCTGATTAGAAAATTATCAAATGTCAACGCAAAACACCTTTGAACCGCATCTAAAAGCCTAAAAAGAAAAGAAAAAAAAAGAAGAAGAAGAGCGGCTTGAATCCGACTCCAAAATAGGACGTTGGCGCATTTTGAGTTGCCGTCAACACATAATGAGTTATCACCAAAATTTGTTGTCAGATGGAGCTTAGCTTTGGGCCACAATTCACCGAGAGTGCTATGTTTATGTAGATCAAATATGAATTTCCATGTTTTACTTGGGCCTTTGACTAAACTAGGCACTTCAGGTTTAGTATCTGGTGCTGTGGGTTTTTTATTTAGGTCATAAGTACCTAGATAAAGTGGTTTGGGAATTTAGAGAATATGGTTAACTAGAAATTCAATAGGCCAAAGTGTGATGTTTACAAATGTGATAGAGCGAGAACTTATACACTATTGGCTCCCTAGAAATCTCAATCTGGATATGAAATTTCCAGGTTAAATAAATCTTGGAATACGAGTAAATACTATGTGGAGAGCATCTAGATGGAATGCATGTTTTGTGTTGTACTTAGTCAATAAAACTTGTATTATATAATTTCATTTAAATTTCAAGTTATAAAAAGTCTATTTTAGATCTATTTACATCTATGTAATTCTACCCATAAATATAAAGTTAGCTCTTATTATTTGGTTATTTTAATTATTGTAATTAAAATATGTTTTTACCAATTGAAAGTTGAATCCAATGAGCATATGAAAGTCTCTCTAACTCCTATTTCTAATTCATTTCTAACTATGCCCTTTCTCTTTAACTCTTTTTTTTTCTATGGACATGCAATTATCTCTCTAACCTCTCTCTCTCTCTCATCGTGACATCTCTTCTCTTTAACTCCTCTCTCTAAGCTATGTGTTTTCTCTTTAACTCCTTTTTCTCTCTGGCCATACCATTCCAACTTCTCTCTCTTACATACAAACATCATCATAACTTTTTTTTTCAACTCACTGCTAAGTGTTATCGTCACTGCTAAGTGTTATCGCCTCTGTCTTTTATTTCTCTAACCCATCTATCTAACCTTGCCATTTTCCTCCATAATTACATCTCTCTCTAATTATTCATTTTCTCTCTCTTCTTTCTAATGAGCCCTCTCTAACTCCTTTCCCGATCTAATTCCTCTGTACTCTTTCTAACTTCTCTCTGTCTAATCATTCTCTTTCCCCTTCAAACTTCTTTATCTGTCTAACCATGCTATTGATATCCCTAACTTTTCTCTCTCTGTATCTCTTTCCAACTCAACTCTCTCTAATCATGCCCTTTTCTATCTAACTTTTGTTTCTCTTTAGCTCCTCTCTCTAACCATGTAATTTCTCATTTCAAATAATTTATCTCTGGCGAACTTCTTTTCCATTCCTACTTTAACTCCGTATTTTTTCTCTATTTGTTCCCCATCTCTTTTTTACTTATCTCTCTCCTAACCATGTCAACTTGTACTTGTAAAACTTTGATTTGTAAATCACTTTTTTTTTCTTTTCCAAAACTTTGATTTGTAAATCACTATTTTTTTCTTTTCCGAATGGATGTATCCAGGATATGAGCTAAAAGGAGGGATATGTTTTTGACATTTTGATCTCTGAATGGGAACCAAATCACTATTTTTTATTTTCTTTTTCTAATGGATGTATCCAGGACATGAGCTAAAAGGAGGGATATGTTTTTGAGATTTTAATCTCTGAATGAGTAACAAACAGTTCTTGGAAAGAGGAAGTTTTTTAATTCAGTGAGAAAGACATGCCCCAACCTATTTTTTCAAATAGTCTAATAATTAGTTTTTTGAAAGTGGAGGTAGTGTGAGTGAGAATGGAAACCACAACGTAGTGACTAATATATGGGGGTGCTACCACCACAATCCCTAACCCCTTTTCCCAAGAGAGAAAAAAGTATTGGAGAAACGAATGTTTATTTATGATTCAATAACATATTACAGAAATAAGACAAATGGTTATACTAAAAAAATACAAATGTTTGTTTCTCAACAAGAAGCATGGTTGAAGTTGGAGAGAGATGAAAATGGGATTGAGTTAGAAAGTAGACTTGTGTGGGTTTTTTTGGGTTTTGATAATTGTTAAATACATCACTTGGTATACTTCATCAATTACATACTCACTATTGCCACTTCCATGCTTGTCACTTTCCCACCAATGTTTTACTCTGCTCCTTAATCATACTATACCTTCAAGACCTTACGCTGCACTCAATTACACACTCTCACTTACTCATCTCTTTCTACCCCTATATAAGGGTGGCAATGGGCGGGGCCAGTCCAAGGTCTTGTTCCTATAAGGCCGGCCCAGGCAGAGAAAAAGCAAATAAAAAAAAAAAAGTGAATCAGGCTAGGCCAAACTAGGTTGGCACTAGCCCTAGCCCAGCCCTCGAGCCATAGTTTATGGCCTTGACCCTACAGTTTTAGGGTGGGCTGCCCAGCCCATTGCCAACCCTGCCCATATCTCTCTTTCTTCCCTATGTTCCTCGATGCCTTAGGCTTCAATCAGACTCCTTTTATATAGCTTATGCTCACTTTCTTGGCTACCCAATTAGTGGACATTATTGTGCCACCTAATCTATGCATGTGTTCTTTTCTCATAAACCGCGCATAGTTCTCAAGAGAAAGATGGGTTTTGGAAGCCTCAATTTCTTTCTTTTTTCTTTTTTTCGGGTAATTCAATGGGGATGAGCCCTTATCTATTTTTTAAACTGTTTGTGGTTTTTTAATGTATTAGGTGAGAATGAAAGCCTCTTGAGAAAGAGAGAGAGAAAGCCATATGTTGACTCTACATATTAGAAATTTAGATATGGGAGAGGGAAAAAATGCAAATGTTATATTTTTCTACCTTTAATTTTAACATAAAATATTGCCATGTAAAGAGAAATATGACATTTGCATTTTCTCTCTCTCCAATATGAAGATGCTTGGAATAAATGCTTTGAATGTCTAAAAATATAGAGATGATTTGGATAAATAATTTCACATAATGTTTTAAGACCCGGAAATTAGTTTTGGATTGCCCAACAATTGTACGATCTAGCTAAGCCAGGTTGGCAATCTAGATCAGTCGACAGGTGGAAAATCAATTAAAATAAAATAAAACGAATGAGATTTGGGGAACACTAACTTGGATTGCACTCTTATTGAATTTTATCCATATTGACAACTCACAATGCAGATCACCAAGTTCTAAAACATTGATTTTACATGAGGGAAAAGAGGCCTCTAGCTAAAAGAAAGGAGTTCTAGTTGGAATGTTCTTATCTTTTTTAAAATCTGTTTTTACTTTATTCATTGTAATTTGCTAAAAGTCATATGTTTTGGCTAGAAATAGACAAAAATTGTTGGAAATCATTTAAATCTCAATAATTAGATAATATAATAGTTCCAAACGACTAATAATTTAATATACTCCAAAGTATATTAATTTTAGAAAAGATAACCTATTTCAAATAAAAGTAATTGTTATCCTTACTATAAGTACAAATAAAGTTAGTCATTAATAAGATAATCTATCACCCATTTTTTCATGTGGATATAAGTACAAACATGAGTAGCCAACTAGCCTTCCGTTAATGAGAGACTATAATAAATTGAGGAGAACCTTGAGATATACAAATCAAATCATAAATGGATAATAAAAAGAGAATTTTATGCTCTTGTCCTTTAGAAATCATTATTATAAATTTATTGTCAATTTTTGTTTTTTACATTCATACATCTTTTTCCCCTTTTTTTAGTTGGTCTAAGGTGACACTGACTTTGGACCAAACTTTTATTAATATTATTATTAGTTATTGTGACTTTTGACCTTGAAGTTCAAAGTGCTTTCACTTTGGACTTTTAAGTTTCGAAATGAAGGTTTTAAAATCCGAATTAACTTAACTTTGGGCCTTCACTATATACATTGAACGCTTGAAGTTAAAGCACTTTGGACCTTCAAGGTCCAAAGTGAATGGAATTGGAACCTTGAAAGTCATATGTGGAT